GTTACTTATGGGATCTTCTGTGTATTTTACTTAAAAAAATGAGTGATTTTGCCCTTTTTTGTAATTTATTTACACTGAGTGTTGTAAAAGGCAGAAAACATACAGTTGCTTAATATGCTGAGATATGTGAACCACAATGGTCTTGGAATAATTTGAGAGTTAATAAACATTAGTTTCAATTGAACTTATCCAAATTAATTTTCTGCATTAATCCTGTAATAATGTTAGAGTAACATACTACTGCAGGCAGTTTTTATACAAGTACTTACAAGTTTATTTTAATCTTGACCCAGGGTTGTTTGCACCAGCAGGACCAGGTACAATCTGGAAGAAAAGAAGTCCTGAAGATGACACGGAAGTGCAAGCCTATCACATGTTGATGACAGACAGCATGAGAGACATGGTTCCTAGGTTTTACCGTGATGTGGAGTATGAAGGAGAGAGTATCCTTTGTAAAATACAGAGTACCTATTGAAGTAAAAATAACTTTGTTTTTAATTCATTGTAAAATCAAATCTTTTATATTTTAAATGGCATCTTAAACCACTAATATGTCTGTTGTTTCTCAGCGAACCCAAAATGGTATTGGGGCAAAAGACATAATGGGCACTGGATAAAGCAGATGTAATGTTAAAGTGACCAGTATTTCTGGAGTCCAAAGTGGGACACCTAACTGATGAATAAAAAATTGGTTGCATTAAAAAAATTAACTTTTCATAAAAAAAATGCATATACCATCTTATTATTGTACTTTTTATTAGATATTATTTTCTTTAACAAATCAGGAGTGCATTTTGGGAAGATGCAATAGAAAAGAATTACATTCATGAAAAATACATACCAGCTAATTATTACAATTCTTATTTGAGGATATTTTCGTAAACAACCTAAGATTTATATTTGGCAAGCTACAGTAGAAAAAAAAATTAATAAAGTTGTCAGTTGTATACAATAAACGATCATATTTTCTGCAGTTATATTCAACCTAGACATCAAAATTATTTAACAAAATTGTCTGAAAAAAAATACAAATTTTTGTTTAGGATATTGATATAGTGAAAGTTTTTCAGTATGTGAAATGTTGCAGTAATAGCTGCTTATAAACTGATATAAACTACAAAAACTCAAGACATAACAGAGTTGAAACTAAACTGAAACATGTTTAGGATATTCAGCACATATTGTTTTGTCATTTATAACAATGTTACTGTACTGAACTATAAAGGTCAATGGCTAATGCCTAACAACGTTTTATGAAACAGTAAAAAGCTAATTTCATATTATTACATCCTCAATGGATATATGATTATCTACATATTTGAAAGTTAATATAAGAAAATGAAGGATATTGTATGAGGACAATCTTATGTACAGTCATAGTATGGTAGTGCTTACAGGCATTAATTTTAATAATGCGGGACATTTAAGTTCGTTGTATTCCAAAGTGGGACAGTTTTACATCTCTTAAGGTTTCTGAGGGGCAGTGAGACAGGCAGCTCAAAAACAGGACTGTTCTGCTGAAATTGGGACATCTGATCACATCATATAATGTGGTTGACATGTATATGCTTGTCTTTATTTTCACTCAGAAGTTCATATTGATAATTTCTTAATTAGGCCTATTAAAATCATAATTTGATTGCAGTGATACATTCTGGTGGTTTTAGTCTGTTTTACAGAATAAAGTATATTAAGATTGTTTTTTTTTTTAAAGTAAACTATTTTTTATCTTAACTAATGAAGAAGAAACTTTCTTTTTCATTGGCTCTGTGGGTTTTAATTGAAAAATAGCTTTGAAATAAGAAAAATTAACTCAAATTCTCAGATTTTATAGAAATGGAAGATCTGCTATACAATTTTCGAGACCCCGCAATAATGGATATCAAAATGGGAACAAGGTAAAGTTTGGCTTTTTTTGTTTTTAGTCAAATCTAGACACTTAATATGTATCATTGAACTTGGCAGCAATGAAAGATAGTAAAAAATATTTATCAATACCAAGAAGATAATATTTGCATTGGATGAAAGCGAAGTTTGTATAATGTGAAGAAATTAATTGCCAGTATAGTGAGAAAATGTGGAATATCAAAATTGTTTAAAGCAGATTTTTATGGTATCTAATATTTTTTAATGTTATGTGACTTAATTAAATGCAGTGCGTCTTTTCTATATCTTTGTTTTTCATAGGTCTAGAAATTTACAATAAATTAATTTCCAAATGTTTTTAATGCTGTGAAAACAGTGTTGTTTTGGTCTTAGCTTTTTGTTAACTTCTAAATCTTTACCATGTGTCGTTACTGTATAGATAAATATTGTAGCATAATTGATTCATAATTACAGTAATGGCCTGTTTCTGAAAATGAAATAAGTTATTTTATTATCAAAAAAATATTGTAATATTTTGAACTTCATATGATATAGTCTTAATGCATTCATCTTTGATGTTCTAGTCTAATACATCTAGTTAATGTTTCCAGAACCTTTCTTGAAACTGAAGTACAAAACAGCAAAGCAAGAACAGACTTGTATGAGAAAATGATCAAAGTAGACCCAAATTCTCCGTCTTTGGAAGAACGAGAAGCAGGTGCTGTAACAAAGCTAAGATACATGCAGGTTAGTTCAATGAAGTCAGCTGTTGACATGAAAACAATAAATATTCCACATTTACTTATTTATCACCATTATTTGACTTGCATTGTTACTGTTTTATTGAGGGAAAATAAGTTCTTTGCAGTTGACTTGAAAACAAATATTTCATGTTTATCTGGTTATTATATTCACTATTGCTTGATTGTATGTTTAATTACTTTTATGAGGAAAGAAGTGATAAGTTTGTATATATATATATTTTTTTTAACTTGAGAGGGGTTTAAGCTGGAGTATGTATGTATTTTTTATATGATCTCTCATTCAACCATTTGATATTTTGCCTTTCTCGTAAAGTTTTTACCATACACTGTACGTTAAGTGCAATTTACATCTGAAAATATCAATAGTGAGGGTACAGTTGATGAAACAATGCATTCTAGTCATTGTCAGTTTCTTTCTTGTGTGTTCATTCATTTATATATATAATGTTATAACTTATTGTCAGCAGTATGATTTTTTTGGGGGGGAGTATAAAGGATCAAAGAGTTAGCTTGGGGGACAACAAATTAACACGTTCATGTCAGTGGGTGTCACAATGTAGAGAATTCAAAAATCTTAAGACTATATCTCGGATGGGGGTGGCTAGGGAAAAAGTTCTCCAATGGAGGTTTGCCTTCCACACCACCCCAGTGAATATGCCCCTGCTAGTCAGTTTGTTATGCAGAATTAGCATCATTAAAGTATAAGTTACTTGTCCTGTAGTGGAACACTGGTAAGTCTAAGGACTTGCCATGCTAAACTCCAGCATTCACTCCCTGCAGTGGACACAACAGATAGCTCAATGTGGTTTTTCTCTAAAACAAACAAATAAGTTACTCCTCAGTTCTGGTCTCTAGAGTTAGATCATAGGTTTAGCCTTTTTATATTTTGATTTATAACCTTATGTACATCTAGTCAGTTTGATTATGTAGAGGTAGGTAGTATCATTAAATTATTAGTTACTCTTTTGTTCTGTAGAGTTAGATCATAGGTTTCAGTTTCATTATGTAGAGGTAGGTAGGATTTAATGATATGGCAGATGTAGCTTAGATTTACATGGCAGAACAGCAGTCTGTATAAGAAAGCAAAGAATCAATAATGGAATTATTTATATACAATCCTTATTACACTGCAAACAGATTCAGTATGTGACACATAAAAACTAAGTAAACCTCGCTAATTTATAACCTTGTAAGATATAGTGGAAACACTGAGACTTATGCTGTAAACTTTTAATGGACACTTAGGTTAAATATTAAGATGTCTGTTTGTTTCTTTCAGTTCCGAGAAGCTCTTAGTTCCTCTTCAAATTTGGGCTTTAGGATAGAAGGCTTTAAGGTAGATATCTTACCTGATGTTATTATTTTTTATTTATTTGATAACTGTTGTATTATCCCAATATATACTTATTTGTAAGCAGCGGTGTATTTGTAGATTTTATTATTGAAGTTGAAGATTATAAGTACAGTTAATTACCAAAAACTGTGTTGAAGGTGGAGTGGTGTTTTATACTAACAAAGTAACTTTTAATTAACTTTAAATTGTTGGTTGTTTCAAACTAGTGTAAAGTTGAAGAACTTAATCTAAGAGTCCTCAACTTATAGTTTGGCTTAACTTCGACTTAAGATTTCTGCTATGTTGCAAAGCACCTTGAAATTGTAACATTCTTTGATTGTATTTTCTCTCTCTTTTTTTTTTTAATAAGTAATCAATGTTTTTTTCCACATCTTATATATTGTTATTGTATGTGTTTGTTTGTTGAAAGATCTGAATGATAGTAGTTCACTAGCTGTTAAAAATATATAAAAATAAATAATATTCAATATTGTAGATTAATTCTTCAGTGTTTGTTTCTTTATAATTAAAGGTTCAAGTGTTTTCCTTTTTTTTTCTTCTCATAGTTACAAGGCTAAAAGTACTTTTTTTCCTGCATAGTTACAAGGATAAAAGTGCATTAAGTGCTTTTTTCTTCTTCGTAGTTACAAGGCTAAAAGTGCATTAAGTGCTTTTTTCTTCTTCGTAGTTACAAGGCTAAAAGTGCATTAACTGTATTTTTTCTTCATACTTACAAGGCTAAAAGTGCATTCTACCTACACTGATATTTAGTTTATACATGTTAATATTCTGTAGATTAGTTAGAGTATCTGATAAGAAATAAAAATCATTTTTTATAAGTACAGTAACTGATTTTATTAAAGTGAAGACATGCTGAATGTGCAGGCTTATTTCTAGGAACTGTTGTGTTTCCAAAGCAGATTCTATTGCAGTATGCTCTATCAACAAAGTTATTTCGAATATGATGGTAAAACTATTGAAAGGAAATTTCTGCTCTTCACTTTTTGTTTTTTTGGGATTTTACTGAACCGTAATCATAACTCCCTATATATGTAGGTAACAAATGAGTGGTATGACCTAAATCCCCATTATATGTAGGTAACAAATGAGTGATATGACCTAAACCCCCATTATATGTAGGTAACATGTGAGTGGTATGACCTAAACCCCCATTATATGTAGGTAACATGTGAGTGGTATGACCTAAACCCCCATTATATGTAGGTAACATGTGAGTGGTATGACCTAAACCCCATTATATGTAGGTAACATGTGAGTGGGATGACCTAAACCCCCATTATATGTAGGTAACATGTGAGTGGGATGACCTAAACCCCCATT